TCAGCCACTGGGTACAATCCCGATCCACTGCTCTTGTTAGTATTACGCATATTGATTATTGTCTCCGTATTGCTGCTCTACAGCTTGCAGCTGCAGCGGATCGGGGGAAGCATGGTCCAGTGCAACAGTAGCCTGACGTTTCTCAAGTGTGCAGCCGGCCATTATCCGTCCTGTACGTACTGTCCATGATTTCTTTGCTTCGACTCCGGCTAGCAGCCTAACAGCACTAATGAAGTACAGTACATTACAGGAAGTAGGTATACAATCAGTAGTTCTAGAGATTTGAACCTACAAGGGTTGTGGCTCTGGTACAATTGGCTGGAAGGGTACGTGCTCAGATCGCCTTGCGACTATGACGAGATAGAGACTAACTTAGATATTTCAAGGTTAGTTCCTCGTTAGCATCGAGACATCGTAGTTAGGTTTTCCGCACCCTGTCCCTAGCCGACTATCCACCCGGCAGTCACTACTAGTAAGGTAACAACATCCATCCCCTTCCCAAAAACGGATCCTAAAAGGATTGGAAAGGAAAGGACGTGGTCCGGAGATGGGAATTTCTCGGCTTGGGAGTGGGTGAAGCTCCCCTTCCAGCCCTCGAGTCCTCGAAGCCCTCTAAGTCCTCCAAGTCTTCTAACCGACTGCACGAACGGCCGATCTGAATGCCACCAACGACCCTACCTCCTTCATGCACTAGGAAACGACCACATGTCCGGACGAGATCACCAACGAATGGCCATGGGTTGGGGGAGCTGCGAGGAAGCTAGGATTCTATCTGCCATTGAGCCTTAATATCCACCACTAAGCGTCGGCCGCCACTCTTTGACTGCTGCTCCGACGCGATGGACGATGCAAGCCTTTTTTTTACTGCCGTTATTTCCTTTTTCTTATCGCTCTTTTTGTGGTTACCACTAATCATTTTAGGGATCAGGGTACTGGGCAGGGCTCATCAGAAGATTGACTTGCAAACAGCTGCATTGTCTATCTGTCTTGAACTGTGGTGATTCTTCGCCTGTAGGGTGTTGGCCTTTGCCCCGCCCCCTCAAATCTAAATCTTTTTTATCGCCGTCGTGCATGCAGGCCGTACTCCGTACTGCGGACAGACAGACAGACAGCAGCAGACCAGGCCAAGTCAAGAGCCAAACTTCCGATCGAAACCGGGCTAGTCGCCTTGAACGACGCACCTTAAGGTCGTCAGCAAGAGCGACTTCCTGAGACTAACGCCCAACAACTGCTGCAACTGCTACTGCTGCTGCTGCTGGCGCCAAAGAAGCAACGTGCGATTCCTTGATGTTAATTAGTTCTCTCTGCAACCATGCGATCAGACCACCGTCTACCTCCGATGGTAAGACCTTTCTCTAGTCCCATCTCATCCCATCTCATCCCATCTCATCCGCTCATCATCAAACCCGTCTCGCTGGTTGTGGCCATGACCAGACTCACGGATCTCGTAAACACTAAATACTTGTCGAGTCCCAGGAAAGGATTGTCGATCCAACTAAGAGGGGGCTTGCATATGCTACCTCGGCAGCGACTCCGAGCCCATCCATTCGCGAGGGATCGCTCACGGTGTAGTTAGTGTGCTTGTATGGGATTGGAAGACAACTACAAAGACCCCGACCGTGGTGTTGTTCAAGTTGCTGTCGGGTCCGGTCCGGCCCTCTCAGGAAACCCACAATAAACAAGGCGAGAGTGAGAGTTCAGAGAAGATGAAAGAAAGAGGAGCTAGAATCCCTGGAATCTGCATTCCCACCACCGCCTTGCTTTTGGTTATTGCTTTGTGTTACCCTTCTTCTATCTTCTCTTACTCTCGCAGACGTGCAGGGGCAGGTTCTTCATATTCCGATTCGTTCTACAAGGAGAGGGGGGCCCATCAGGTGGTGGGACCGAGCGCCGAGGAGTTCTGGAACGCAGTAAGTAACTCAAGTAACTGGCCATCATGTCAGCCTGCGATGTGAGATGATGACGATGACGATGATACTGTAGTCTATGCGTCTATGCGCCGGTAGGCGGTAGATACAGGATAAGGTCAACGGCGCTCCGTGTGGAGAGAAGCCGTTGTGTAACCATCGAGCTTGCAATCAGGCTGCTGCTGTGTATCAAAGTCAGTCTACGGAGTACAGCCCTCTACGTCCCCTCTACATCCCCTCTACAATCCATCCCCCACTCCCCTCAAATCCACGTCACTCGGCGAATTTTCGGGTCCTGATTGCATCTTCAGGACACAGGAGTGACGCTGGTGACTGACGCAACTTCACATTGGTTCATTATTTAGCAACATGATTGACATTGGTAGTGGGCACTGCAGGTAAGCTATTCCCGGCGCCTTTCTTTTTTCTTTCCCACCCACCACCCCCGCCCGCCTGTGGCTTGTCCATTGCCAGCAGCACCTCGGAGCTCTTTACTATGTACTCGTAAGAACAAAGAACCTTGAACAAAGAATCTTGAACAAAGAACACAAACAAACAAACACGAATAAGCATCGCGGCTGTTGTCCGTTCTCTCTCCAACTACCGTCTGGGATTGGCATTCGTGTGATAACCTCAGCCCTTTGAAGGGGAAATTACCGACCAATTTCCAGATGTTCAATTTGTTCCAGTTTGAGATTGTCTTCATTCCTCCGCCATCTATTCGGACTAAAACAGAGACGGACGGACTCCGCTGTCTGCCCCCCTCGTCAGGACACTAAAGGATCGATCCCGTCCCTTCTTTTTTCTTATCGCTCGCGCTCGCTCCACTTCTCCGGCTCCATGACAGGTTGAGACAGAAGAATAAGCAGGTATTCCCATTGCGCAAGTCTCATACATTGGGTACCCGACCAGGTTACAGACTTCATGCCTCACCCAATGCCTGACTCCAAGGAAGGAGAGGTAGTTTACTGGCGTGGAGAGGGAGTTAATCCCAAGCTGCTTTCCGATTCCACACAAAGTACGCACCAGTACTACCAAGTCAGTATCCAATGGGAAGTTGGAACGAAAATAACCGCCCTTGTCAAACCCACGGATTTTCCGTACGTCGTGAGGGTGCCCGGTTTCAGACTCCGTTCGAGTAGTGTGGGCGGCGGAGTGGAGTACGCTCATCCCATGGATCACCTGTCAACTTGTCAACCCTTGACACTAGTGAACCACAACCGATGTCTTGACTTTTCTCTTGACTCTTGAGTGGAAACATCTGTTTAAAAAAAAATGGGATAAAAGAAGACATACTACCGGGTATACACAATTGCACCCTTGAAGACTAGGTATCCTTACCGAAGTTAAGCTACAACGAAGTACAGAACCCTTCAACTTAAACAATCACCATTATCGATCCCCATCAGATCTTCAATCAAAACCCACAACAAACAAACAAAAAACACACAAACTACCTTAAGATTAAAGCCCAAACAAAGGAAACTAGGTAAAAGAAGCCCAAACAAATGAATCCCCCCCACCACCCACCCCAACTACCAGGACACCACCCCAGCACAGCGCCCCGTATCCGCACAAAACAATGGGAGATGTTTGTGCGGTGTAGAAAAACCGAAACCCAAAATCCTTGAGAAAAGCAAACTGCATATACAGTAGTTAGTTGCCTCGGGGTTTCCCTCGGGATGATAGTGAAATAGCGCCGGGGGAGGATCGGAATCCCAGGCGAAGGACGGAGCTAGAACAGTATCATCCGTCCGTTCCCCCTGTCAGTCTGGGTCTGGTTTTCTCTTGAGTCATGGATGAGGTCTAGACACTATCTTTCTGATCTGTGATCTCCTGTGCTCTTTTGAAGAAAAAATCTCGCAATATTTGGACATGGGGTTTGCTTGTAGTCAATGGATGTGACCAAAAGCAAGAATAATGCAGCAAGCCGTTTCGTACCTTTTCCCCGCCGCTCATCCTTCCACATCCCTGGGCTCAGGGGAGGTGATGAGACACGAGGTAATAAGCACGGTGGCTGGAGTTGTATGGAAAAGTACTGTACCTCCTCCTGGCACGCCATGGCTGGTTGGTTTGGTGGGTGGCTTGTGGTGCCGAGTCCCCCGGGGATAAGTTAATTGTGTCAGTTATGGGAGGTAGCTAGTTATAATGGGTTCGGCTTGTACTACTACACCTCCAAGGTAGGGCGGGAGTGTTAGTCTGATGAGCTTCTTTTGCTGGTCATACCCCTGTGTTTGGGGGTTTCTCGTCTTGTAGAGTATACACAGAACAGTACCGTACAGGTACTTTGCCTAAGACAAATGGGTAGTATAACTACCACCAGGCTTCTCACGCGTGTTAGAATTGTCGTAAGTATCTCAATGATACTGCATATCTAATCAGCGCATCGCATGGAATACCGTACCGTCCTTGCGATCTGGCCCTAAGTACTCCGTACAGTACTATATGGATGTATGTATATCAGTCCACGACCTCAAAGTTATGTGCTGTACCTATGTACATGGATGTACATATACATGTAACCTTTGTTCCTGCAGTTTGCTTTCCACCGCAGGTGCCCCGTGCAGCAGCTGTCCTAGCCTAATCTACGGAGTGCTGTAGCTTCCCCTAGCTTCCAATCACTTCTGTACCTAGTAGTGTCTACACGCAAAAGCTACCGAGTCGGGGTATTGATTATGCAGAAGTGATGGGTCTTGTGGGGGTGCTGGCGGCGGTGTGTGGTCTGACATCTATCTATCTATGCGATGCAGGTCGTATGTGTGTGCTGTGCTGTGCTGTGCTGTGCTGGTGCCCGGTGCTAGTGCTGTCCTGTGCTCCTCTGGTGCATGGGGGTTCCTTGCTACAGCGGCGGTGGTCTATGAACTTGAGCCTAAGGCCTGAACCTGGACCTGAACCTGGAACCATGATTCTAATTGCAACCCTTGGGCGATTTTGGGGGTTAGGGGATTCGGGGCTTGTCTCATTTTTCCGGTGGACATGACTGGGATCAGGGAAAGCTTCCGATGGACTGGGATAGGAGGGATTGTCCCGTGTGCATTGGCCTTTTGGATTGAGTTGGGGGGTTTTGGGGCAGGGGACCGGACCGGGTGGACGGGGGGTTTAACTGGCCCTGGGACCGGGGGGATGGGAGTGGAAGTATCACCCGCAGAATCCGGGGCGAGTACTGTGCTAGGTAGATGCTACCTAGCTAGCTAAGTTACTAGCGAGCAGCCAAACAGACTGGCAGGGAACAAGCTAGTAAGCTACCTAGCAAGCAGGCAAGACGGCAAGACGGCAAGACGGCAAGACAGCCAGCAAGTCAGCAATCATGGGGAAAACTACGTACTTTGTACTGTACCCCCTCGGCACGCCCTCAGCACGCCCGCGATCGCTTCTTCTAAGGATATGCAGTGTAATACAGTACATGTAAGTATCCGAAACACCTGCATGTTGAAGCCCCTCCAACCTATGGTGCTGAGCTCAAGCATTCCCCCTCAGGCCGGCTCCTGCTCCACCCCGCCCTCGACGGCGAGGACGATTTGGAGCCAACGGATCATCCGACTGGAACAGAGGCCCGCCTCCGGTTACTCGCATTCCCTGGAGAACGAGCTGGCCGCCATCATCCTTGAAGCCTTCGCCATCGTTCAACAAATGCGTCCAGCTCTTGCGCATCAGTATATAGCATTCTTTCAACTGCCGAACTCGCTCGAGGTACGCGGGGGAATCAGCCTCCACCTCCACTGTGCCGTGCTCCTGGTCGATTTTTGCCTTCATTTTCCCGTACAGAATGAGATAGCTCACAATATCCTGAGCCTCCGGCTCGGTGATACGTATGTGCTTCGTGATGAACTTGAGCGTGAACCGCTTGTACGGTGCGGTCAGCTTCTGCACCGCGCGGACGCGCATGTTCCGGCTGACTTCGTCGATGTTCTCCGCGATGAACGGGTCGGCCAACACGTCGGCGTTCTTACTGAGGATATCCTCGTAGGTGCGAATGTCGTCCCGTTGATATGCGTCGACGAGATCGGTCATGGCAGCGATGCGCGGATCGTTCTTGTAGGGTTGCGTTTCCTGGGAGTCGAATGGATTGATGTCCGATTTCATGAGCATCGTCGTCAGCACAAGGTACTTGAGCACCTGGATGCGCTGCATGGAGCCCGCCTCGTCGTAATTCCGGAACGACTCGAAGAAGTCGCTCTGCGCCTCCTTCCAGTTCTCCTCGCTCATGTGCATCTTTCCGCCGCACTCCCGGATGATGCCCATGATCTTCGGATGCGGCACAGCCGACCTAACGCGTAGAGCCTTTTGATAGAGTGCCTTCAGCCGCTTGTTATTCTTGGTCTCGGCATACATCTGGATCTCCAGTGCGTAGAGTTCGAGGAGGTAGGTGCCTTTGCTGGGGTCGTCGCTCCCGTCCTCCCGCTGACACGCCCGGTGCAGCTCCCGTACCTTTTTTCTCAGCTGGCTATAGTCCTTGCGCTCGAGCCACAGTCGGGCTAATTTGATGTTGGTCTTCAACCATAATCGCTCGTTGTTCGTGTTCTGGAACGATCGCAGCGTCAAGGAGTAGAATTCTTCCATGCACTGGTATGCCCTTTCGTCGTCGGAGCCCTTCTCAATGTAGTCCAGCATGTTGTTGATTGATTTCTCCGAGTAATTCCGGGTGACGGCCGACTTGACGTAGGTGAGCAGTTCCCTGTAGTGTTCGACCGCCTGAGCAGTCAGTATGAATCGCACGTAGGGTGAGCGAAGGAGAATTACATCACTGTATCGTCCGAGCTTGAATTCCAACTTGATGGCTTGCTTCAGCCCCTTGAATCCCCTGCGAATGGCTTCGTTATTTTTCTCGACTGTATCTGTTTGGTTCGATGTCGGCCTTACCAGTCGCCTTTATCTTGCTCCAGTGCCGGCACTCCTAGGAACTCGTCGATCGCCTCCTCTGGGTTGTCTATCTTCACTTGTTTCGCGTTGTAGTATTTGTTCTCGATCCCGACATCGCCCGAATCGTCCTCGTCTTCATCTTCGTATTCAAAGTCATATCTAGGAGTCGGTCAGCCAGGTGCGACGGCAGGTTGGATACTGGCACGTACTCCTCGTCACCAGAATCTTGCATGAAATCATCGTCGTCCGACATTCTGAGAGAGTAAAATGTAGAAGGAAAATTCGCTAAAAAGAAAAGTAATAGGGATAGGGGATTAAAGCATTAAGGAAAAGGGATGGGAGTTGCAGTGGTTGACCCGTGACGAAGTGAGAGAGGAATGAGATAAATGGATGGAAACAATGGAACCAATGATGGAGGTGCGGTCCGCGCCTATCGGAGAGGTCGGTTTGCTGGGCAGCCGGCAGCCTTCCCCGCCTTCCAATTTGGAGTTAACTTCCAGTCACCTTCACCAGTCCACTGCACGGAGCTGAACACAACAGTTTCTTGAGTGTTGCGCCAATGGTTGAGAAGGCTACTACTTTGAATTCTACTAGGTGGCTATGCATGACAAGGCCACCAGTGACTCGACTGCAGTGGGAGACATCTCAGCCTTGTCTCCGGTACGAGTTCATGGAAGCCTATCGTCATATTTGACCAGAATATATATAAGTTACATGGAGATAGTTAACCTTGACTACCAACTCAGATAAATACTTCCAAGTGGATACGATCAGCATGCGATAATCAGTCTGAGACAGACTCCATACTGATTGCGCAGTCTTTTTCTTGTCAACCAGCTATGATCTTGGGCAACACGATGTTCTTTCATGTGCAGCTCAAGAGTCTAGGTATTTTATGTAGTTATCTCAAAAGCAATTGACCTAAGACCATGTAGACTGAATGAAACCAACATCAACAGGTGAAAAGGAGACAAACGGCCTGACGGAACTCATGATCGACACGCTTCAGAGCTGCAGCAACGGCCACCATATCATATTCTCGCCGCCACATTGAAGAATTCCAACGGTACGGCGTAGTTGGCAGATGAAGATCGGCTCATTCGTGGAGCCTCCGATGACATCTGCTGCTGCGCTGCAACTCCGCCGCCCAGCCATGACTCGCGCCCCGTCAAATAATCAGTTACTAAGTCATTCTTCCTCTTCACTCACTCTCTTCTGCTTCGTGTTCGCTTCCAACTAAGACTTTCGTCACAATTACACCTTGTGAAACCTCCTCATTTCCTATTATTCAAGTTTCGTCTGCCTAGGATCATAATTTCCTTCTGACCCAGACGCAAACAACCCGACATCCATTCATATACCAAATCTCCGCTCGCTCGCTGTTGTCGAACCCCGTTCCCCGATCTAGAACCTCCCCCCCCCTCTCCCATCCTCTCACCTCCACCCCCCTTCCCTCCCTTATCTTCGTCGGGACCCTTCGACCCTTCTTTCCCCTGCGATTCCTCCACCAACAACCGCATTCTCACTTCCACCATCACAATGAGCCTCTGTGGGCGTCAGAAAGTCGTGCGCCGGAAGATGGTGCTCTTGTCAGTGCAATCTATAACTTATCGGTCGGCCAGCTGGGAATTTGAAGAGCTGACATCCTAGATAAGAGGGGACGGTGCTTGCGGAAAGACCTCGGCTTTGAACGTATTCACTAGAGGGTTTGGCCATCTGATTGACCCCCCTGTTTTCTCCAAGCCGAACTAACATCCTCCCACTTTAGATATTTCCCCACGGTCTAGTGAGACACCTGCTTTGCGCTTACGCTTGTTTGCGATTGATTTATTGACCGCAGCATTGACTGCATAGTGAACCCACCGTCTTCGGTACGCATTGGCTGTTCCTCCCTTGAGATGATATGCTCGCTAACGTGTTGTTGGAAATCAGAGAACTATGTACATGGTAGTTTACCTCCCCGCCCGATATCGGCCTTGGCTACTCCTATATACTCATTCTCTCGCCAACAGACATCTTCGTCGACAATGTACATATGGAACTGTCACTCTGGGATACCGCCGGCCAGGAAGAGTTCGACCGACTGCGCGCGCTATCGTACGAGGATACCCATGTGATCATGCTCTGCTTCAGCGTAAGGACGACCGATGCGACCGGCTCTGTGTTGCGATTTTGACCCCATACTAGGTCGACAGTCGCGACTCGTTCGAGAACGTGGCCAGCAAATGGATTGAGGAAATCTCTGAGAACTGCCCCAGCGTGAAGCTGGTCCTCACAGCACTGAAATGTGACTTGAGAAAGGACGAGTTCCTGAACGACAACCCCAACGCCATCACCTACGAAGAAGGCCTTGCGAAGGCCAAAGAGATCGGTGCCGTCAAGTATCTGGGTACGGAGTCTTTTTTGTATTTGTGCGCCCCTGCAGCGGTTCATGCCTTGCTGACATATGACCTGCAGAATGCTCCGCCGTGCAGAATCGTGGCATCATGGAGACTTTTTACGAAGCAGCCAAGGTGGCCCTGGAAGTGAAAACTCAGGGGTCGAACGGCTCCGGGGATCGGTGTATCATTCTGTAGACCTCCTGGGTCCCGTTCGCTCTTTGCTTTTTTCTGCTCTATTATTATACCCGTTCTCAATATTCCCCCCTATGGTTCGACAAAACCGACCTGGATTAGTTGCCCTGGATACGTGCCTGCAGTTCAGGAATTGGAGGATCCTGCTTGAACCTTCGAAAGACCTTGTTTCGCCGCAAATTCAGCCTGTCGTACTTTGCATTGATCGCCCTATGTCTGTTTCTCTATATATACTTCTCTCTCTCTGTCACACACACCGTCCTCATATTAATCGTGTACACTTACTGTCTTGATTGTGTGACCCCTGAAGCTTTTTGTTCCGGAAAGCATGCAAGACAAGCCTGATGGGAGAGATGTTCAAGGCAGATACCTACATCATAATATCTATCTCATCCATCGTCCTAAGCATAGATTGAGAAAAAAACCTATGAGTACGAGTATCAATACCGTGTCTAATCTAATATCCCTTGGATAACTCCCCAACCCAAGGCTATATACCCCATGGTTACTTTTATTTTATTTAACCCCTCAACAAATCCTCCTCCGCAACAGTATACACCTCCTCAATCCCCTCCCCCTTCCCTTTCCCCCCCTGGACCGCAAAATCCCGATTCACGCGCCGCACAAACGCCTCGACAAACCGGCCCGCCACCGTCGGGATATCCGTCCGCACCCCGACGCCCGCCAGACTCGTCGCCTCGCGGCCCTCCAGCCCACACGCCACGATCTGCCGGAACCACCACATGGGCTCCTGGGTGACATTGAACCCGATCCCGAAGCTACTGATATTCCGCCGCAGGTGCACCCCGACCGCCGTGATCTTGTGGGGTAGCTGTGCATCGTCGTTGCCGTTGCTGTGCTGTTGTTGACTGGGCAGTAGCGAAGCGGAGGGGTGTTGAGGGGAATGCACCCACACGCCGGGATCCTCCGTCACCAGGCCCCGCACCCCGTACGAGGCCAGCACGTCGATCACGCTGTTTTCGAGGAGTCGGATGTGGCAGCGCGGGGTCAGCCCCAGGCGCCGCAGGTCGAGGATCGTGTACGCGACCATCTGGCCCGGGCCGTGGTAGGTGGTTTGGCCGCCGCGGAGGGTGGGGTGGTATTCTGCCTTTTCGGGCGATCCGGGCGATTTGGGAAAGGATGGGGGTGTGGGGTAGGGCGTGGGCGGGATGAGGAGGGAGCGGATTTGTTCGAGGGGTGGGGGGAGGGAGAGAGAGAGCGTGTTCTGGGATTGGGGTTCATTTGTGCTGGAGGGTGCAGCGGCGGTCGTGTCGCGGGGACTGGTGTTCGAGGGCGGGAGGTCGCGGCGGCCGGTCGTGTAGACGGGGTGCGGGGTGAAGGTGATGATTGTTGGGTCCGGGGGCGTGGTGGTGGTGGTGGTGGTGGTGGTGGTGGTGGTGTCGTTCGCCGAGGAGAGGAGTTTCTTGTGCGTGAGGAGGCGCGTGGTGAGGATTTGTTGGAGGTGGGAGATGCGCGTGAAGGACGTTAAGTCCGGGTAGTGGATGTGGGCGAGGCGCATTTCGGATTCTGCTTTTGGGGATGGTGTGTGGTTTTGGCGGATGGGTGTATGTTGTTTAGAGGGTGTGGGGGAAGTTGTTCATAGCATTGATGGTTGGGGAGAAGGGCAATTGACTTGTCATTAAGGGAAAGGTTGGAGGAGGGGAGCTGGAGATAATGGTTTGCGCGGGCGGAGGAGATTCGAGCGGATGGATGGACGTCACCGCGGGAAACTAAATTTAGGACGGAGTCGGAGGGAGAGTTAACTTTGCCGCCGCTTGCTGGCCGGAAAATCATGTGATGGCAGCTATTTTAGAGATGACCACCTCGATTGAGATCTCTGGACTATGCTGAGGGCTTGAAATCTAAAATCACTGTATGAACATGTTGGTTTTCATAATACGCAGATATAGTCACTAGACTTTTGGACATATGTCCTCCAAACCACTGATATGGACAAGATTTGGGTTGGGCAGAGTAGACAATGCGGGATTTGAATTGGTGAGAAATTTGAGAAAGAACTGCAACTCGAAATCATGCAGGCGCAACTCCATTGACCAAGGTCTCCTGCGACTCGCCTTCACGAACCAACTGCCAATCACGCACCCCTCCCTTCCAGTCCGCAATACGTCCCTCCCGCACCTGCACAGTCACTACCCGCACGTCACCGTCAATCGAGATGCTCGGCCTCCTGGCTCCCGGCTGTTGTTGGAGCTGCTGTCCGAACGTGCCGATCTCCTCCTCGAAAGTGTTGTTCTCCAAGTGCTGTGTCTTGCACCATTCCTCCTCCTCCGAGCCAGGCTCCAGGACCCGGGCAGTACCGGCGATTGTCGTGGAGATGCTCGACAGCGCACTCGTGTTCAAGTTCAGCAGTAGGCTAGCCAAGGATGAGCGGGTGGCTGCGGGTGGCGGAGAGCCTTCTCGGTCACCCCTGGGGTTAGGTGCGCGCGTAGGAGGACGGTGGGAGACCCAGTCGTGAACCAGAAGGGAGACCCGAGGATTTGTCAGAATCTGGTTGGTCTTGCGAGACGATGGGTTGGTGGTCATGATGATCGTGGGGTATGGGTCGAACGGAGTGCAGGGTAGGTAGGTGTATGACATGAGGGAGATGTGGGGGGTCATGCCATCGGTGGTTGCAAGATGAAGCTAGTGAGAGATTAGACAGTGACCCGTGAGTCTGAGCGGTCAGCTAGCAAGCACTTACAAAGCGCGAGTTCTTGAGGCTGGAGACCACCTCCGTAGGCAAGGTGCTGGCGACATGCGGGTGGCAGGTCGAGGCGGACGCCTCGTACGAAAGGGGAGGGTTGTTGGGGTCTGCCATGGTGAATGATTATAGGTGTAACTTATTCCGAAGGCCTTCCTGTAGTGTATGTGATACGTGACTCTCAGTATAACTGTGAACCGATCAAGAGCAGCTGAGAATGGAGGAGCGCAAGTGGAGGGGCTGCGGAAGCCAGAGCAGCTCACTATCACTAATCCAGATTGGGGATGAGCGATTGAGCGCGGATCACCAGGCGGGCCGAGTCGATTACCTAACACCCGTTGCTTGTCTGGCAACGCTCGCTTGCCGTCGACGTCATTGAGATCGAGCTCTGTTTTGATCTGATTATTCGGTGCTTATGGATATTGTGACAGGGGCAAAATAGCTCAAGACAAGTGCTCATAGTACTGCTAGGCGCTTGGGACAAGATGATGAAGTTTTACCCGTCAAGACTGATAGGGCAGAAGGAGCTTGAGGAGCCACTTGTTTCGTCATGGTGGTCTCAACCATTGAGCAGTAATACTCGTTGGACTGAAGATCGCGGCAGAGTCCAGACGGTGACGAATCATCCGCAATTCTTCCGTTATCAGGAGAGCTGCTCCTCTAGATCCTTTTCGGCAGGATGAGCGGATGCAGGGCCTAGGATCACTCGGTCATATGGATTACTTCACTGGAGGCCGAGATTGGTGGTAATCATATAAGAACAGGTGATGACTGGCAATTATACCCAAATAATCACCCACGGTTAGCACTACTGGCCAATTTCCCCGCACTTTGCTCCGTAACTAGTAGTGACGGTCGACTTTCCCCAGCTTCTAAAAACACCTACGTTACTTCGGGGGTACCTCGCAGCTCTCACCCTCCGCTCTTCTTCTTCTTCTTCTTCTTCTTCTTCTTCTTCTTCTTCACCTCCTCTTCCACACCCACGCCTCTTACTTTTTCAACCAGTGTCATTTGATCCCTCACCACCACCACCACCTACCCCGTCCCAATTCTACCAACCAGTATCTTCCTGATCCCCAGTTTTAATTCTACTCCGCTCCCGGACAATTCCACCAGTTCCTCTTTGCTGCTAATCCTGGCCTCCAACGCTTGCTACCCGACTGGTCCTCAGCGATACTTCCTGCCGTGCTCCTTCCTCTCAGCCATTTGGTCAGGTCACTAAGTTGTCGCGTGCTGGCCTCGATATATCCCTGTCCTCTTGTGTCTCGGCCTCTGTGTCTTCCCCCTCCCTACTTATTAAACCCCTCTCCTACAATCCTTCCCTGTTGCTTTCACTGCTCTGTGCTTGGGTTGATCATACGGTTGACCCTTCCTTTGCCAGCGTCTTTTCACCCACCATTGTTTCTATTTGTTTCCAGCTGAATTTTTAGCCTCTGGGCAGCTGCTTGTTGTAAAAGCATAAGCCATGTTCGCACAACGCGTGGTTCGTCCAGCTTCGGTGCTGGCTCGCCCCTTCAGTTCCTCTGTTGCTGCCTTCCGTGCCCCTTCCATCCGTGATCTCACCCCCGACTCGGCTGCTGAGTTTAACGCACGGCAAAAGGAGTTTCGCGAGAACCTTGAGGTGTCTCGCAAGAAGAGAGAACAGCAAGAGAGTCAGTCTGTCGATGCTTCTGCTTCTTCCTCTGCATCATCCCCTTCAATCCGTGACCGCTTCCGTGAGTACGCTACCGCTCCCACTGCTCCGCTCGAGAGCAATGGAAGCTGTAACAACAGCCCCGACCTTGAAGCTGCAGATGTACCTGTTGAGAAGGCATTGGGCTCACTTTCTACTTATCATAAACCAGAAGACGAACAGCTGCTGGAATCTAGCCAGGCTCCGAAACGCGGTCCGCTGTCGTCGCTCATCTACGGAACGAAGGAAGGCCAGCAGCTTGACAAGGACATCGAACGGTCGTTCTCGCAAGTGCTCGCCCGAGGCAAATACGTCCATTCCATTGTCTTCCACGATGTCAAGCCCGACAAAGTCGATGAATATGTCAACCTCGTTGGCCAGTGGTATCCTCGCATGGCGACTGAGCCCGAGAACAGGGTCAACCTAGTCGGAAGTTGGCGTACCCAAGTCGGCGATAACGACACTTTTGGTATGTATTTATAATAGCCGACTTTCTTAGTGATGTTGGTCCAAGTCTGCGTACTAACAGCTCGATTGAAGTCCACATCTGGGAATACCAGCGATACGAAGGTTACCACGCATCCTTGCACAATATCGCCTCTCATCCCGAGTTCGAAGCCTTTGACCGGAAGCTGAAGAGCTTGATCAAGAGCAAGAAGACGTCACTCATGCAGGAGTTTTCCTTCTGGCCCACAACCCCTCCCCGACGCCTCGGTGGCTTGTTCGAACTTCGCTCATATACTCTTCACCCTGGGAACCTCTTGGAGTGGGAGACACATTGGCGTCGCGGCCTCACCGCCCGTCGTGAGGTCATGGAGGGAGTCGGTGCCTGGTTCGTGCAGATCGGAGACTTGAACACCGTGCACCATCTCTGGCAATTTGCCAACCTGGAGGAGCGGAAGATTCGCCGCGAACAGTCCTGGGGCATTGAAGGCTGGGCGGAGACCGTGCACAAGACCGTCCCTTTGATCCAGAGCATGCAGAGCCGGATCTTGATCCCGATGCCGTGGAGCCCTGTCGGCTAAAGAGATTGGGTAGGCTGCGGGGAAGAAGGATCGGTGATCACAAGACAGAACCGTCCGAGCGAACTAGCCAAGCATGCAGAACCGACCAGGTTGCGGGCTTCCTTTGCAATCCATGCACCATGGATCAGGACAGGGCAAGAGAGCGAGGATCCAAACCGCCAGTGAGCGGTTCGACAAAGGAGCGTGGGGCAACCCAGCTTTGTCCTTTCTTCCACAAATCCTGGAACTGATGGAGTCCTTGACCTCGTTGGTCTTTATCCACACATTCTTTTTTCGGCCGCTGTGCCCACGGTGTATCGTGTCTAAATTAGCATATATTGAAACTGTGTTCTTTGTTCCCTTTTTGTTCCTGTTTCAAATCCCCTTTCTACCCTTTCTACATATCTAGTAGTCAAATTATTGTAGAGATAGCCTAAAAGCTTTAGGGTCAGAGATGGGCCCAAGATCAAGTCGCGGCCCATGGTCCCGCTTTGTTGTGCTAGCCGAGCTAGCGTAATTGAGTCCATCCCCGCTCTGTACGCGACCGAGTCACGGTGTCGAGTTGGGTGTCAAATGTTACCTCGGGTCGAATGGCGAGAGGGAATACTGGTGGTATTCTCTAGCCAACCCCACTTGGGGGGGACATTGGTCATTTCGGTTGACGACGATCTAAGCCCCAGACGGCACAAGGAAGAAAGCCATAATAAGTGATGCATGGTGCTTTGTCCTAGTGAAGTCATATCAAACCACTGAACCAGCAAATCAAAGGTACAGCTGCACGTGCGCCACTTCGCCAAGGGATCGACTCTTTCGACGATGTGCGGTGAGGTTCTTTCTCTGCGAGTCTGCAGCCCTAGAGAAGTGTAACTACAGTATGTAGTAGGAAGTGTTGAATGTGGACTGGCTGTCCTCCCCGCCTTTGCATCAAGCATCTTTTCCGCCGGCAGAAAAAAAAAGAGGGTCGTTGGGAAATCAAAACAACCAAGGAAAAATTCATGGTTGAAAAGCGAACAACATCATCGTCTGTTTTTTATTCTTCTTCCTTCGGCACCTCCCTTTGTCTTAGCCTTTCTTCTTGCTTTTATTTATCAGTATATCTTTCATCTTCAAATCGATTTCCGATCCTTTTCGAAGTTGACTCC